TTGTCGCTTTTTACGACCTTAACTGATTTCTCTTAGACATGCAAATCAGTAATACCCCTGTCGTTCAAAGCGCTCGGACTCCCGGGCAATCCGCAAGACCATTACTGTTCACCCTCTTTAACGTTAGGACTTTAGAGAGGATAAGACGCATTTCTGCATATGCTAGACTAATAGAACCATAACGTTAGCCTAAGATTTCTTTCCTCTTCCTTTAGAAAGCAAGCAAGTGAAGAAAGGACCATTTTAAGACACGAAATGAAGAGAGAAAGAATATACGTACTTTTTACCCAAACAGTTCCTCGGTCCAAAGCTAAAAGGATTCAGTGCTCTCTTGTTATCATCTTTGTATCGTTCGTCACCCAGCCAGCGTTCCGGCACAAAGAGCTCTGGGTCCTTGTAGTTGCGCTCAGAGTGGTTCATGGCGTGCTGGGAACAGTATACCGAGGTGCCTCCAGCGATGTAGTAGCCTGAGATACGGTCACCGCCCGCTGGTACCACGCGAGGGAAGCCCGTGGGAACAGGTGGGTAGTATCTTAGGGTTTCCTGGAAGACAGCTATAAGGTATTCCAGTTTGTTGACTTCCTCCATAGTGATTTGATCGGCGCAAGAAAAGCGAGAACGGATTTCAGCGATGGCTTTGGTATATGTGGAGGGGTTACTAAGGAGGAGGTAGGTGGCGCCTGATAAGGTGGTAGCAGTAGTCTCACTGCCCGCAATCAGGAAGCCAACTGCATTGTTGTCCATTTCCTCTCTAGTCAATCTTGTCGTATCTTTTTCTTGGTTCTTTATTATATGGGTGAAGAAGTCTGCTCTTTCTCCTTCCTTCTCATGTTCAACCTTCAATAGCCGCTTGCTCACAAGGTCGTGGGCGCGCTGGGAAAACTCTATTCGTGAGCGTATGGGGTTTGGACTTTTCTGGAAAATGCTACACAAGGCGTCGATGTGCTTGAAGATGAAGTGCTTATTCCTAGCAGCATGAAAAGCGAACGCCATGATGGACCTGTAGGTTATGGAGATCCAGTCATGCTTAACAGAGTCGCGCAGACAGTAGAGCGGTTCGCCGAAGATGAGGTCGGATATGACGTCAAAGGTTGTATAGTCTATCGCATATATAATCAGTCCGAATCTGTAGTGCAGAATATTGCAGGGTTCACTAACTGTACCATGTCATGATGTCGACGCTTTCATCTTTAGCGGCGTGTTCGCCCAGACGTTGGACGAGAAGATCAACGTAAGACTGTATGAGACTTTCTTGTCCTCGCAAGGCTTTGTCGCTGAAAGCATGAGAGAGGTTGCGTCGCATTCGCGAATGTCCTGCTTCATCGGCTATGAGAACCGAGCTATCACCGTTGCCAGGTGCAATGCTATTCTCTGATTAATAACTTTCTGCTTGCGTCTCCGGAAAGACCCAACTTACAACCATTTCTTGTCCTTAAGGTAATGTCCGATGCTCTTGTTCTTGCCTGTTCGGAAGCCGTAGATGTCTTGCCACGCAGTCTCCCCTGAGATGAAACTAACTTCAGTCGGTGCCAAACGAACTACATCACCGTACTTGTCGTGTGACTTTTTGACCCATCTGACGATACTGCCATCGCGCATATGTAGGGCGTAAGGGATGCCACATGCGCGTGCGAAAAAAGGACCAGGGATGTGTTTAAGAGGATGGAAGAAGATATTGTATACAACTGAATAGATAGCAAAGAAAGTGGCCTAGTCGATGTTAGCTAATCTGCAATGTCTAATTTCGATTTATATCGTGTTCTAAAGATTGACATGTTCGCTGATATTGAAGTATTCAAAAGACCCCTAAAGAAAAACCCTAGACAAGAAAATGGTGCGAAGAAATTTTAATTTGTACTTACCAAGACTGAGAACACTTCAAGTGGAAAGACAGCGCCTTTGAAGCTGAAAAGCTTGGAGTCAGCGGGTAGTGTGTTCGCCAAGAACGTCATAGTGGAGTTAGAGAATGATCGCAACTTGAACTGAGGTGTTCCAATCCTATGTATTTGTCGAGGATAGGCTTGACTTGAAGACCTTATATAGCAACGAAGCCGGCTGACCCACCAGCCAGCAGACTTGTCAAAGCACCATCGCATACATTACGGATGGTCGTCTTGGATCAAGCCCGTGGTCCATCGGAGGGTCGGCTAGTGCGCGGCTTATCGATATTCAGGCATTGCTTATTTCAGTGATCAGCTAGCACGGATCAATTTATGATCTGCACATCTAGTCGCCCCTCGTAAAGGGCGCAACCGTCATCCGAGGCGTAGTCAACTCTACGCTTGCCCCGTCTCTTCGGCCTACTCGCTCTATTCGCTTTATCGCTTCGCGAACTCGCTCCTAGGTCAATCCCGACCATGGATGTAGAGTGTGTATCTCCCACAGAAATTCGTAGAAAGTACCCATGCAATACGATAGAAGTAAGGTTCAATGTATAGGTTGTGATGTCTTATCGCACAGCCAGACTGTGATGGTGGTGACGTAGTGAGGTTGGTGCTTTGCTGACGTTCGTGGTGGCGGAGCAACCTTGCGAGAAGGTCGGACGTGCTGTGAATAAAGCGGAGGACGGCGCGATACAACAAGAAGTCGTTAGAAAAGAAAACCTCCTCAATTTTCGCAAAAAATTGAAGGGATAACGACCCACAGTTGGCCGTCTTTCTATATGCCGTGGTCGGACAGATGAAACCCCGAACACGAATTGAAGGGTCAGCCTTGGCACGGAAACGGGTAGCAGCTGATCGCGCCCGGATGATGCCCCGATCAATGTTTGCGACATGTGAGCGGCGACGCTGGGCTTTATCTTGTGAAGGACGCTGGTGATGCCTTGTCATCACGAGAATTATGTCTGGGATGCCTGAAAGATGGGGGTTCTTCACACTGATTATTCGCTTCGAACCTGTGGATCACAAGATCACTTGCTCGACACGGATGACTGTCAGTAGGACAGTATGTTTGCTCCGTACTAGATTCATCGCTGAGTCATTGTCGCATCTATAAACTCATGAAGAGTACACATGCGATCTCATATATCGCGAACTTGAAAGATTTACTTCCTCCAGATATCTTACAGGTCCATCCACCTATCTCAAGGCGCATCAAGGATACATAGGTCCACATGTCAAAACATGTCTCCTCGCTAGGACCAATATCTAAGAACTACTCAGCCCAAACTTTGTAACAATAACCGACAATCAACCAAACAGCCAGTCGCGTTGCTCTTGCGGTACAGTCTCGGCGTTTACTGCGACATATACCGGCTACACCAATAATCTTCCATCCAAACGATTGTAATAAGCTAACGGACTAGGTTTCGAGTCACCTAGGGTTTCAACTTAGTAACCCGAAATAAGCTGTCTATATAGGAATCGTGTTTATTCTCTTAACAGAGTTACAATTGTCACTCTGTATACATAGACTAAAGCGTTCAAGCTACTATTTTAGCTACTACTCTTTCTACAGCCTATTCCTTAGTTTTACTCTCTTATTGTGCCTTAAGAAGCCGTAAGGCCTATTGTAACGGGCTGAACGCCCTTTGGATAGCTCCTCGATAGAATCTTGGTCTACTTGTAGAATCCGGGTGCTCGAGGTAGCACCCGGGTTATCCGCGGACCGCCTGAACGACGTTCAGACGACAGCCGCAGGACCCAGGGGCTGTCTCGTGCACCTAGACCTTACCGGCCTGATCGTTACTCGGGTTACCAGCTTGTATATAGTTAGCTACGTAGCTTGGGAGTTTAGCTCTCTATCGAATACAACCTCTTGTATACCTCGCGATTGCTCTACGGAGCGCAGCCTCTTACAGTACCGTAATCCTCTAACTGTGCCGCTTGATTCCTTAAAGTAATTACGCTTACCCTTGTCTCCTCCTAGGTGTAGATCGTAACAGGTGGTGAGAGGCCAATTTTCGATGCAAATTCCAATTAACAGATCGCTGTCTTACTACAAAAGCTAACCCTAAGTACCTCGATTCTACTTCTTAATGCTACTCCTCTTTTCCTATCTATCTCTTTTCGCTCTTACTAAACGTAGCTCGATCCGACTTGGATCGAGGTCGTCCTCTCGGGTATGTAGGGTAGGCTTATGCTGGTAGAGCGTCTCTCATCGAACTCACAAGATCTTTTTGCTTAGGTCGGAAGCCGAGCGCCTTTGATTTCTTGCTTGGGGCCAAGAATGAGTTGCCGCCAAACATGTACAAGATTCCTTCGCCCTCGGCAATCTCTATGGCCGATGGCTTACTCGTCTCGCCACGGGCGAAGAGCAGATCGCCGAGCACTTTTGTGATCGGTCCCCAGGTGTGAGTATCCACACCAGAATAGATTAGGTTCTCCCATCCTTTCGAGCTGGCAGATGCTGTAGTCTTATCCGGGTTCCTGAGAGCGAATTCCGCAACAGCCACGGTGAGCTGAGAAAGGTCTTCGACATGCACCTCCAACTAAGGTTAGTACAGAGCGATGGAGGACATCGAATTGGTACCAAATGGGACACTTACATTACCCCAGATATTCTCGCCTTTGCCGATGTATGCAGCTTGGCCGTGCTGCTTTGCGTACCGGGTGTACGCAGGCAGCTGCAGGGAAAGCTCTTTTAGTCAAGACGTTAACGCTATTAATTATAGAGAGGAAGAGATTGTGGGCTGCATACTGTTACCAGGACCTGTACCGCGACCGTATACGGTAGGGCTGAGGACGATATACGCCGAAATCGTTCCTCGAAGAGCGGCGGCAGCGACACTACTACATTGTAAGGGAAGTGGTAAGTTAATTGGCCGAAGCCGTGAGTTTCTTGAGCCTTACATTTTGTAGCCGCCGTAGAAGAAGGCGGTGTCTGGGAGAGAAGACCAGCGGTCGTATTGCTCGTCCTACAAGACATGAGTATCTGATGGTGCGTGCATGTATGAACCGATGGGATGAATTACCGTCCACACATCGGCTCCAGCTTCACCTCCTGAACCATACATAACGGTACCTGACCCGCCTGTGTGTAGAAGGACTGGCTTGGACTGAGTCTCGCGCGCTCGCTCTTCTAGGCCATCGACCAAGGCCTGGATGCTAGTCTCGTCGCCTCCGAATGCGACAGCGAAGTTCAGCACCACGTCATGTTCTGACGCAAGCGACTTCAGCTTTGCAGCGTCCGCAACATCACCAGAGACCACATTGACTCCGAGTGTTGTGAAAAGCTGTTCCTGCTCGGGTTTGCGGACTAACACTGTGATGGAGGAAGCCGTATATTGCTTCAATAGGTCGGTAAGGACAGTACCTGTGAAGCGTTCCGTGGTCAACAAGTATATTAGTTATTAGGTCAATCTGTACCCACCTCCGATATACCCCGCGGCACCCAGGACCAGGAACTTTGGTGGATCCATTTGTGCTTCTGATGCTTGATATGTCTCTCCTTGCGCGTAGTGTCTTGTGCTCGAAACTCGTATCGGAATTGGACGCTGCTTGTCTTGCAAGGAAGCCTGTGCAAGTGAGATTATAAGGTCCCAAGCCACGCCACTCTCCGTTGTCTATTTGTACACATCTTAGTATCTTCAGCTGACGGAAGCACTGGCCGGAGTTGGTCACTCGCTAATCTCTGGCCCGCACGATTGGTAATCATTGTATGCTGCTGTTGTTCCATCTTTGGCCTCTTCGAAATAGATTGATCATCCTGTGACGTAGCGCCAGTTCCCTGCCTATCGCTCGTAAAACAGTATCCAGCATTCTCTAGAACGCCGAAGTAATACGAAGTGATAGATAACGATGTTTAGCCCTGTAAGCTGTTATCATCCACAACGGGTAGCCGCAGAAGCGCTGCCTGAAACGGGCTGAGCTTTGCCCGAAGCGGAGTGTGGATGTTCTTCGGAAGACATTTGCCGGCGGCTAGCCTTAGGTACGCCTTAACTGCCGGGCTGCCTACCAAAGAACCCTGCGTCAAACCCATCCGCATTCCTTCTTGGGTAGCGTAGACGGCGGGGAGCGAACGCGTTGTTTCGACGGCAAGGATTGTCAGCAAGTTTTGTCAGCAGGTATTTGTGTGAACATCGCGTTAGCTCTATACACACACGGCTGATCTCATCAAGGTGCATGCTTACAAAATGCCTGCTAGTGCCCTTCAAGCGATTGATGTTCTAAGCAGAATGTGTAATCCAGATAGCGATGCGACGTGAGCCCCTGCTTGTGAGTGCCTTCAACAGACCGACGTTCTTGATCATCGACTCTCAGAGACGACACACCACAAGCGATAGCGACCAAAGACCTAGCTCCCTTGCTCCACGATATCTGTGTCATCACAACTGTTGGGGAGGTCATCGTGCGTTACACGGAAGCTGGTGAAACGTCGAAGCCCACTTTCTGCTGTACATGAGGTTTCCAAGCTCCAGCACCCAATAATAAGTTGCGACAAACTTCGGCTACACTTTCGACAATATCGGTATTGTGGTCTCGGCGTGGCTGAGGAAGGTGAATGTCACCACCTACGCGAGGTACATCTTCGATTATCGTGCACTTGTGGGCTTTCGTCTTACCCTTGAGCAGCCTCCGGCCGTAAACGCGATTGTAAAGCAGAACGGCAACGCTTATGATGTGGGCTTTGGTCAAGACTTCTGTGCACCGATCTTCAATCTCTTACGCACAGGAAATCGCCCACAGGCTTGGGAGGTACTACACAACACGGTCCTGACGAAGGACCCCATAACGTACTAGTATTGCAGTGGTGTACCAGACTATGACAATCCCCTGATCGACCCAGAGCAGCCAATCCGTGATTATCTCCAGAGCGTCTCTGACAGTGACAATCAGGAGCATCAACTAGATCTCTTCTACGATTACCGGAATAACAAAGCGGCATACCGTGAATGGTACTTATATCTCGAGACGAGCCAGATACCAGTTCTTGCCGTATGGGGTGAAGGTGACCCGGCATACGCGTCCGAAGATGCTGAGGCTTACAAGAGACATACAAAGAACTTGGAGATTCACTTCCTAGATGCAGGTTATTTTGTCCTCGAGATCAAGAGATCTCTAGGCCTGTTATCTTTGAGTGTCGACGGTATCTTACGACACGTGATACAGTCATTAGTGATTGCGGCTTTGCTATAACACGCAGCTGTGCAGCAGTTTTGAGCAGCCCAACGGATCCTTAAAGTACTTACAGTTGCTGTTGATTTATGTCAGTCTCGCTTGTAACACGGCAGAGTTGCAGCAGCCTTGCTGTCCAAGCTGGGCTACTTTCGCACCGAGAATTTTGGAATTGCCGGTTTTTCCTACGTAGTGTCGCACAGCCGTCGCTGAAGCGTGTATCGGCTGTTTATCGACACTTTCGACTCAGTGCCGTTAGCTTTGGCAATCTTGGAGAAACTTTGCCGCCTAATCTAGAATTATCGGCTACTGCGCATGTTCGGCGCGCACAAGAACGAAAAGAGAATCTGGTAAGGGGCTGGTCATCGAGTCGATGTCAATGTTCGGGTGGCTTGAGCGCCCGTAGGTTTACGCGATGATGCGCATCACAGGCTAGTAGCGTCTTAGTGGTGCCGACTGGGGCAACTCTGTAGAAGGATCGACGAAAATCGATGATCAAGGATGCACACGTGCTAGATCCTGGGGGTCGATCTTTTCATCTACGTTCGCGAGCAGTTTTAGTAGCCAATGCCATCCGATGCTCAGTGTTGACTGAATCGACAAATGTCGTGGTGCTGAACGATTGAGTGGAACCCATGATCAGGGCGACGGCGCATGTAACAATGACAGACGAGATCATAGAGAGCCATTAGACAGACACTTGCTGCAAGTCTGTTCAGTGTTGCCACGAACAGATCTTCCTCACAGCCATGCATTTCTCCACGCGATAGACTTAGAACCGGCTTCCAGTCGCGTGGCGCTTCGTAGAATAAAGCACGCGCTAGGGACAGACCCTGATTCGCACATGGGTCCAGGGGCAACCAGCACGACTCGCTGCCCACAACGCTAAGAGTGACCGTACAGCAACTTGCTTTTCCTGGTTAGCAGTGGATCATGACTTTCGTGCACGGCCTGACGACTGGAGAACGCGGACAGCGCACGTCAACTGTCAATGGAAATGTTAAAAACTGGTCTTCCCCATGGACCGTTGTGTCCGCGGAGGGCTATTCCATTCCACTACCATGTTACCGCTTTCGCGGCTTCTTACACGGCGTGCAGCCTTGTTTTCGCTTGTCGCATCAACCGTCGCACAATCGCCAACTTCTTTAACCGATTCTACCACTCATTCCACGGAGGCTAGACAAATCGCCGACCCGATCCTCGACCCCATTCTCGAAACCATTGGATCAACTCTCCAGGGGGATGGATTGATTGACAGTACACTTGGTGCTATCGGCGGAATACTGGGCGGCGAGCAAACCTTCGACTATGTCGTCGTTGGAGGCGGAACTGCAGGTGCAGGCGTTGGCGTGCGACTAGCTGAGGCAGGGTTCAGCGTTGCTATAATTGAGGCTGGCGGCTTTTACGAGATCGAGAAGCCGGTCTTTGGCACCACACCAGCAGGATCCTTCTTTGGAATTGGATCGAGCCTTCTCGACACTGTACCGACGACAGACTGGGGTTTCGCCACGGAGCCACAGCCGCACCTGAACAATCGCCAAATTCACTATGCCCGCGGTAAATGCTTGGGAGGGAGCAGTGCCTTGAACTTCATGGTTTACCACCGCGGGACCACGGCAAGCTATCAGATGTGGGCGGATGCTGTTGGTGACCAGAGCTATACTCTAGGAAACCTTACCCCATTCTTCAACCAAGCAGTGAGCTTCACAGCCCCTGGAGAGCGGTCGCTTGACAATGTCACGACCGCTTACGATGCATCGAGCTTTTCAAATAGCGGTGGACCTGTGCAGGTGGGCTACGGATACTGGGTTTCGATCTGGGCATCATACCTCAAGAAGGCCTTCGAGGTTCTCGGTATTCAGGAGAACACAGACTTCAACAACGGAAAGTTGCTTGGATACCAATATTCGCAGAGTACCATTCGGTCCAGCGATCAGACTCGAAGCTCGTCGGTTGCTTACATACACGCCGTACAGGCCAATTCCGCGGCCTCAAGCAATCTCAAAGTGTTTACCCATACACAAGCGCGGAAAATACTGTTCGACAATTCTTCCGCCAGGCCTAAGGCAAGTGGAGTCGAGGTGTCAGCCCTTGTTGGGCTGGCACAGTACACCATCAAGGCTCGTCGTGAGGTGATAGTGAGTGCTGGAACGTTGCAGTCTCCTCAACTCCTCATGCTCTCGGGCATTGGCCCGACAGACGAGCTTCTGGAGCATGGTATCGACCAGATTGTTTCAGCCCCAGGTGTTGGTCAGAACATGTGGGATCACGTTCTGTTTGGTCCTTCATACTCTGTCAAGTTTCAGACTGTAGGTTCCATACTCCTCAGACCACTACAATTGGCCAATGCGCTTGTTGAGTACATAACGAGCGCCAAGGGTGCACTTACCTATGCTGCCGACATATTGGGCTGGGAAAAACTTTCGAAGCTGGAAAGATATCGCGACACACTTAGTCAAAGCACACTCGATGCTCTGGAAACCTTCCCCAACGACTGGCCCGAGGTAGAGTACATCGCTGCCGACGCGTACGCAGGGAACTTTCGTTATCCCCTGGCGCAACAGCCTCTGAACGGCAAGAAGTATGTCAGTATCCTTGGAGCCATGGTGGCACCGCTGTCGCGAGGCAACATCACACTCAAATCAGCAGATCCACTCGCTGCGCCGGCCATCAACCCGAACTGGCTGTCTGATCCAGCCGATCAGGAGCTCGCTATCGCCTGGTACCGTAGGATGCGCGAGATCTTTGCGACAAAAGACGTCGCATCACAACTTGAGGAAATTGGTGTTGAAGCGTACCCAGGGCTCGACTACGACAGCGACGAACAAATTATGGCGGTCATCCGAGACAGCGCAATCACAGTGTGGCACGCCGCTTCGACCTGCCGAATGGGCAAGAGTGTACTCAGAGATGGTGTTCGTGAGCGAGTCGATGAAATGGACGTCGTCGACTCTGAGGCCAAGGTTTTTGGGGTAGATGGGCTTCGTGTTGTGGACGCCAGTATCTTTCCATTCCTGCCGCCTGGCCATCCTCAAAGCACGATCTATGCACTAGCAGAGAAGCTCTCCCAGATCATTATTCGGGATGGTCGCAGTACTACGTCATGAAGGCACCGTGTTTGACGTAGAAGTTTTGCATCGACCCACGCTACCAGAACAATACCGAGTATTACTTACGAGAGACTATCAATCCTGTTAGCGTTCACAAATGGAGCAAAAAATTGCACCTGGTGACTGTATGACCACCAAAGTGGTGTTGAAGAGACGATTTGATGATGGCCTCCAGAACACGGTGTCTGACGCCTATGCTTCCGATCCATGACAGGACACCGAGAGCGGAGAAAGGGAGAGAAGAAGAAGCGCATATTTCTGGTCGAGCTAGGATGATGCACCAGACTACAGCATAGTACGGTTTTGACATGGCCTTGCACACCATGGTTCTTGAACAGACGTTCTGGTCCACTAGCACCGGTGATACCCTCACCTCACGGAGAGATCCAATGGCGTTTCCATCTCGGGTTGTAGTATTCGTAACGAGTTTTTGGATCTCCTAGATGCTGGCTCGCTAGGAAAGCTTGGAGTATCACTTGTAATGGTTCTTCTGAACGCCTTGAGTGTTCCACTTGGTCCTAACCACTTTTAGTAATGGGCGCTAAGTAAGATGGTGATAGTAGTACGTGTTCATAGATGTTCATGATTGAAATAACTCTGTTGCAATAGCTGCACCGCCTCTCTGAGTTTCCCATTCGTGCTGGCGTCTCTACCGGCCAGGGTATCCATTAAGTGGATGAAGGTCGTACATTGCAGCGCTACAAGCGTCACGGGTAATAACTAGGTACATTTCTTGCAGGCAGTTGATCGACAATTGACCAACTCCGAGATACATGTCTCGAGTTCCTCCGAATTCCCAATATGATGATCTCCCATGCTCACTGGTCCAGTTCGCATCGATAGCCTTGATCGTCAGGTCCTCCAGAGTCCGGTCTCGCTTGCGTGGATCCGTGTGGAACTGCAACCCAGCCAACATATTGACTGCAGCTGCGTCGATCACAAGACATACACTGTACCGGCATTGAGGCCGCGACGAGCGGCCGGGTAATAGTAAGTCAAGGCCACCCATCAATGCGCGAAAGTTCTCGCGCACGCGATGATCGCTGGCACCCGCCAGTTCTTCCTCATCTTTGATCAGTTCCAGCTTAAAACGTTTGCGTAGCTCTTCCCTTCTATTTTCCGGTCCTTCATAAGCTTCGAGATGACGCTCGACTACCCGCACCCAGTTCCCCATTGCTTGCTCCAGTTTTTCAAGTGTCGCATCGTCATAGCTCGTCAGGAACACGTAGTAACCCCACGTCCCGTCGTAAGGCCTTGGTGCGCTGATGTCTTCATCCCAGTCAACAGTCGACCATTTATCTATTTCCGCCAATAGATTTATCATGTCCTCATCGCCATGGTCGTGGCCTAAAGCGATACTCGCCCTTCGCTCTGCGACCGCTTTATCCGACGTGTATCGTTCCGTTTGGAGGTCGGCTGCCGATCCCGAGCCGAAGGCTTGAATGGCAAAGTCTCTACGAAGAGGTACAGGTCGGGAGATGAGCGAGGGATCGCCTGGGATGTCGGGCGTTGTCCGGCCACCACGACCGCGTCCTGTCATGTTGGATTACGACTGTACGGTACGAAGGATACAAGGAAGGAAAGAAGAAGTAAGTTATCGTGGGTAATAGTCTACGAGAGCAGTTGATGCGAGCATGCTGAGTTTTTACACGTTTTCACAGCTGGGTAAATTGCCCTCGCTTATTAGGCAGCCGTTCAAGCTACCATACTAATCTCGCAGCATTCCTGCTTCTACCTTCAACTTATCTATCGTGGTATCTAGACTTCGTCGCATGACCTCTAGATCTACGACTAATGCCGCAGTGCCCCCCATTATTTCTTTCTCTTTTTGCACAGCGAGTGCCAAAGCGTCGAGAACGCTAGCTATCCTCAGGGTCGAGTGTTGATTTGGACAGCGTTGCGTATTATTTACGCGTTGTGACTTGATGCCGATGCTCGGCTTCTAAAAATAGGCATGATCAGGACCCTAATCTCGATCATCGAGGATGACGCACGCACGCAGCCAAGTACTGTGTAGATCCTGAGGTAGTGAAAGCTGATACTCGCACCAGCAAGATTAGAGCCCCGCATAGCATGGAGAAGACAATATTCAAAGCCTGGAACATGTCGTAAGCCGATCGGGTGCCATGCCCTTTCCCTATCAAACCCATGCTCGAATTGTCACCTCATCGACACTGTCGCAGCGTATATCATTTCTGACCTCGCACTAGCATCGACATGCGCAACGCACGACATGCACCCATTCATCGCTCGGCGTGCGGATGTCGAAGTGTACCGTACAGGTCGTAACATGTTGCTACGTACGATTGCCGAGCCGTTCCGTTAACAAGCATCGCGAGCGCATGCACCCAGGTACAGCATTCCCCAGACGGTAAGCCAATGTCGATCAATGCTGGAACTCCGCCTCATCAAGTATGATCTTGATGCTTAGAGAGCGAAAGAAAAAGTACGTGAGCATGTGCGGCGGAGCATTGTACCAAGCTCCTATTTTATTGGATCGTGCTCGGCAGCGAAAACGCGCGCAAAGTCGGAGATACTTCATGCAAGGCACAACGTGTATCGTGAGTGTACGTGCAGTCGCAACGTCACTTCTCCACTGAAACCACGCTTCCGGCTTACAGGTTCCTGGCGTGCGGACCGAACATGTCCTGATCGAAGCTCTTCCGTCGCATCCAATGCCAGGTTCTCCGCCTCAACAAGATCGACCCAGCGAAGCATACACGAATGCCAAACGATTGATCGTCAGTCGATGAGGTGTCGCCATGACCATTGTTCTTCCCTATGCGCTGCCAACTCTAACCTTCATCGCGATCCCGCTCGGCGGCGAAGGAGTGCAGCGTGCAAAAGACCATGAAGATCATGCGCTGGTGCCAATTTTTGATACTTGCGCAGCATCACCAAGACCGCGTTCGGCGTCAAAGGAAGTACAGGACGTAATCCGGTGCTTACTTCGGCCAGCACGGTATTGACGGGCACCACTGACTTCACCGCATCATCGAAGACACTGTGCCTGGCTGTCATCGCATAAAAGCCACTGCACCACGCGCACCAAGTGTATAGCATCCGATAAGTTCCCCAACAGATTGCACGACTCTACGATCAAGACTACAATTACACACTCGTATCATACCACAATCAAAATGCCTTCCCTTACTAGCATCCTCGCCCTCGGTGCGCTCACTACCCTCGCCGCGGCCGACAACATTTACACATACACCAAGCCTGGCTGCACTGGTCCTGCCTTCTTCTTCAAAGACATCGACCATAACGTCTGCGCCGTGTCTATCACCGGCAATGCTACCTCCACGGCCGATGCGATTGCAAAGGGTAAGAGCATCGAAGTGCAACACGCATATGACAGTATCTAATCATTTCCAGGTCTGACGACCGTTGCATCCGGCAAGCTTGAAGTCCAAGAGACGGGCAAGAAGCACTTCCTAGCTTGGGACGAAGGCCCAGCCTCGAACGCAGATGGTCCCCTCCAATGCGGCACTATCTCAAAGAACATTGCTGTCAAGGAGCGCGAGACCTGCATCTCCGGTTCTATCCATGGATTCTCTTGGACTGAGCCTGGTGCAGATGGCAATGACTCGAACGACTTTGATATGGATGATGATGATGCGGATGATGTTGACGACAAGGTCAAGCGTCAAGCCAACGACGACCCCATCTGGACATGCACTGGTTCCACCGACCCTGATGCTGTACACATTGGCGGCAAGTACTACAATGTTGATGATATTCCAGCAGCAGATAAAGAGGCGTTGATGGAGTGCGCGTGGAATGATGTCACTCCGGGTGCGGAGTTTGACAAGTACATCTTTACACCTGACTTCTAGATAGAAAGGAAACGAGCGGAAAGGCTTCAAGAGAGCTCTATCTTCGAGCGTGGATGACGCATAGTCGTATCGTGTTCATTGCTCCTGTAGCAAGTATTAATATACGTCTGACACTTTTATATTTGCCACATTCCTCAACTTTGCATCGTGTGCAAAAACAATTTCATGCGCTATTCACGACTCAATCGTCGGAAAGTCTTGCTTCCACCGCTTCAAACCGTCGCTTACGGTACTAGCGACCGCCGCCTAGTAACAGAAGGCTTGAAGTACTTCTGATAACGTTCCAGATCGAAACTACCGTCTTCAAGTTCCTTACTGTCAGGTTCGCCCGCCCAGCAGAATGTACGACAATTTTCGAGGACCTTACCACCTTCCAAAACTGCATTGCACTTATCCCATCTATAAGCGGCAGTCTCGTAAGCCGCCAAACGGTCGAACTGGGCTTCCGAGGTCACCTTCCACAAAGTACCAGTCACGCTGCCAGAGTAGCAGGGTATTAGTGTTGGGTATATGCCCCACATCTTGATACTGAAACCAGAAATGGTAGCAGGCCTTGTAGTCGGGAGTTCCGGGAGATCGAGAATTGCTTGAAGGACCTCAGGATCCATGAGTGAACCGTAGAAGAACATGTGGAAGGGTTGGAAGGGTTCACCAGGCATGTTTGTTTTCGTGTCTTTGAGGAACTGCCAGTAGTGTGCTTTGTCTATGGGCTCAAAGGCTCCAGAAGGCATTGGAGGAGGTGGGGGTACTGTGCTCGTCGATCTCAAGGATTTGGACAGCTGTCGAGGTGGAGGTGGAGGTGGCGGTGGAGGTGAAGGCGGCATTATTATAGTTGGTGTTGATATATTGTCTTCTCGACAAGATGGAGGTGGAGGTGGATGCTGAGGCGGAGGTACATTGTCCATCGTGGAAGCCGCTGAACGTGAAAGTGCACGTCGGATTTCCTATTAGCGTTATTGCCTTATGCTCTGACTACTAAGCTGTTACAACAGCTTAGCTTCTAAACTCGCTCCACTAAGGACGTTGTGCGGAGCTTGTTGGGGCGTAAGATGGCCATGATCAGGTGAGACAGCTAGACCCACAACGCCCTACCGAGGGGCGGCCGCTACCAAACTTTAGGTTAGATTTGCCGCCTCGTACGTCCAAGGGGCCGATCTATCTAGGGACGGTCTAGACGCAACTCGGCCATCAAATCTACAGAGCTCTAAAGGCCTCTTGATCAATAGTACGAGTTGATCCGGAGGCGCGGACCATAGTGCCCTTAATCAGCTTTTCGAGAGCGAAGTCAGCTTCCTCTAGAAGCGTACAACTTGGAAGGGCTCTCTTCACAAGACAACGCAAACTCGAAAGCCAAGGCTGCCTGGAGCAATTCCAACGTGGAGTGTCAGAATAAATTGATGAAGTTCCATTTTCAATAGTGTTCTTATTCACAATATTTCCTAGAGGTATTTGCGTACCTTCGTTTTAGCAGAGTAGCGAAGTACAGATTAATGCCAGCTTCTAGCTCTTGTACTTGAGATAAGTCATACAGTCGGAAAGCTCAAGAAGCTCAATGAGTACCAATACATGTAGATCTCATAGAGGATGTTCGCACGACGCGGTGCATTCTGGTGTACATTATCATTCCTTTCGCAATACATTACGTACGTCACATCAGCCCATGATCCATGCTCATACCAATCGATGCGTCACCCTCTCTTTGCACAATGTCCACGGCACCACTAACCTCGATGAAGTCTTCCAACTCTTCGCTCGTCGTCTTCAGCTTCTCCTTCACAGCCGTAACACCTTCGGAGCCCACTATGTGCCGTGCAGGTGGATTATCATGGCCACCGATTGCCGTCAGCGCATGCACAGTCTCCGCAATCAGATCACTCTTGACTCGCATCGGCAACGGGGCATACAAACTCGTGACGGTATCCGAACTTAACAGGTCGCCCATTGTCGGTTCGGCGTCTGGATTCATATCCGATGCGATGCTTTCTTCCCCAGGGGACTTGGTGACGTTCTCGTCGAATGAGGGATGAGCAGCGGGGTTGTCGATGCGCTCAAGCTTGTCGAGCAGACCGGAAAAGATCTCGCGAGCTAGAGGCGCAGGGTTCTCGCCTTGCAGGTACTCGGACATGGGCGGTACAGAGGTTATACGATTAGTGAGAACGTTGACTTCCATGTTGGCTTGGACTAGAGACATCTTGACGTTGAAAGGAGCAATCTCGTAGGCGAGGCTGTCGCAATATCCTTCAACTGCCCATTGCGATGAGCAATACATGCCCAGGCCAGGGGTTCCAAGATGGCCGGTGATTCCAGTTATGACAATGATATGTCCATTCTTCCGTTCGCGCATGATTGGAAGCACGGCTTTCATGATGTTCACGTTGGCGAAGAAGTTGATCTCGAAGATCTCATCCACTAGACTCCTTGTCCGACTAGTCTGCGCGAGCTCTTCAACCGAACCGATCACGGCTTCACTTGCTGCGCACAACAAGACGTCGATGCGCCCAAACGCCTCTACCGCCTCGGCGACGGCTGCTTGGCATTGACCAACCACCCTGCACAACAACATCTGTTAGCAGCGCGACGGCGTCTGACTTTGGTTGGAATCATTGCATGCTCACCTGCTATCAAGTCCAACAACTCTCAAATGCTCTCGCCACCGATCCGTCGCCTTCACATCCTCGAGAAATGTACGAAAGTCTTCACTTTGACCCTCTCTCTTCTCAAACTCAATCGGCATAACGCCTGCGACAACATAATCGCCATGCTCGAGCACCTGCCGTGCTAACGCGATTGCGATGGGCGATGCGCCTCTTGTGATGAACCAGACGCGAGGAGCATTGTGGGGCGGAAAGTGCGGAGACCTTGGTCGCGGCGGTTTGGTCGACGATGCCGGTTGCGCGTTACTCGTCATGTCGCGGGTAGACTTGTCTGTGTATACTTCATGGCGACCGGTGTGTGAACTTGCTTCGCGATGGGGATGCGCGGTGCATCTCAAGTGGGGGCCTCCGCAATGACGCTAGCCCTCACCCCACCTTAGCGCGCACGAAAATGACATTGCAGTCACAACCACCATCTCGAGATTTGCCAAGACTTGGGGATAGTGTTGATTACCACGAACCAGCTCTAAGAGTACGTTGAAGACTCACTTCTTGTATCTCTTGGCTGCCTTTTGTCGTTTCCCTCAATCTTGTGGCGCTAAAATTCAGTTCGCCTCCTTGGAACCTATCAAAGTTCTCTTTTACCTTCACTCCGGGTATGTCAACTCAAACATCATGCGCCTGCCATCTCCCAGCCTCTCTCCTTCCAATGTCTGGCTCGTATTCTCGATCTCATCTAGCTTCGTTGATGAAAACCCATTCGTTCATTTGCAAACTTTCATCTTCAACTTACTCTCTATCCTACAAGCCAGTTACACGGTCTCATTCCGTTTTCAAATAATGGCTCTATCTACACGTATCCCATTTCATTTCGTTGCCTTGCAAAAGCACCCAAAACCTACATCATGAATCTTCTTGGCTAGAGTCCTGCCCAGGCGGCTAACTTCGAGCCAGACAGTCCAGTACACCTCTACTCTCAACTGACCAGCCTTTCAGTTACCATCATCTCCATTGCCGAGTGTCAAAAAGACCCATATTGCCAAGGGATTCCAAAAGACGAGGTAGCCTTCTTCCGTGGGTTTGAAGACCGTCAAGCCCGTCACCAGCGTCAGGTCAAGGTCCGATCAGCCAACCGTCAGAGCTGGATCGAGTGTGACAATCGCAGCTGCACCGGCCGTCGCAAGCGCGTCACTGAAATTCATCTTCCATTCCCGATGAGTAAGGCATTCTCGCTGGCGCAATACCAGCGCCATGCTGTACATTTAATGTCCCGTGTTCTGAGTGTCCGGACCAACGCCTCACCCTTCACACTTGTCCTCGACGATCTCAACCAGCGCTCCGATCTCTTCATTGCAGAGATGGTCAGGCGAGCCCTCTCACGCAATGTAAATGTCGTCTTCGTCACGTTCGAGTCTCGACCTTCCATCGCTCCTATCCGCACAGTCCAAGGCTACGGTCTCACCGGCGAAGAGATCCTACGGGACCTCAGCAAAGCCATGTCCGACTGCAAGGAATCGCTGGTTGTTGTTGACAACCTGTACGAGCTCATCAACAATAAAGGGATTGAGATGATCCGCCTTTTCGACCTTGTTGCCAACAAGTTCGCATCCACACTCGTTGGCGTGTTCCACACCGACATGCTCGATGCACCTCCAGAGTCTCCCTATGCGCCACAGCCACTGGAACTCGTCAAATACATGGCTACCTCGATCATAACATGCAAGTCATTTGCACACTGCCTCGCCGCCAAGGCCGCCAAACAGCGCAGCTTGCCAGAGCCTACGTGGGGTCTGCTCCAAGGTGCCGAAGGTATCGTCCAGTGTCTTGACGCCAACGACCGCCGCGGCATCGTCCTCGAGACAGAGTTCCGACGCAAGTCTGGTCGTCCAGAGGGTGAGACGTACTTTCTGCGTGCGCCTCGGCATTCCGATTACCACGCGCCTGTTCCCGGTTTGCCTACTGGAACGTTGAAGACGGAGTACGTCATTTTGCTTGAACAGGTACCTGGGTATGCCGATCAGGGTGTTGTTGACGCTGTGGATGCGGCGGGTCAGGAGGTCGAAAGTACGTTCAACCTAGGTCTGACTGAGAAACAGAAGCAGGCAAGGGAGGGTGTTGTACTGCCATACTTTGATGCGCAAAAGGGTGAGGGTGCTGGTGAGGGCGGCAGAATTCTATATGATATGGGCAGTGAGGACGACTTTGACGAAGAGGAAGATGAGATCTGAGTGCCGTTTGCGGGCATTGACTTCAAGATTCACTGGCGCTGGTCGCGGATTTGAGGCGGGATTTTGAGATACCCTGGACGTTTTGGCGATGGGAGAACGAAAGAGATCAAGTTAGCACTGATCGTATGCGACGGAGCTTGATGAAGCTCTCAAGGCTCCTCATCTCTAGTAGGATGTTCGCTCGAGCGAATGGCTGCCTGCGCAGTGGAGCTGAGACATAGATGGAAACATTCAAAGCCCTATCACTTGCCCCTTCCCCAATGCCTATGGAGCGGAAAGCTGAATTACGACATCATGTCTAAACCTTTGTATTGTGTGTGTTTCGTCATGAGCTTGGAGGTTGCATATGTACCCATGGTTAGGGTTTGAATGGTAAGCCTTGGCGTCCGTACTCACTCAGCGACATTCGCGACCCAAATCGTTCCCTTTGCGCCAACATTTCCCGCACACCACACGCGCCGCCGCACACTATGGCAGACAACGAGAGACCCCGCGCGACTTACAGCGATCCTTTCGAGCGCGACGCCCGCCGCGCGCCCCGCGAAGCTCGCGATCGAGGCGGCACACCCACCGAGCGACGAGGCAACCGATCGCGCAGCCCCCACGAGCGCGGCAGTCGACGTGACGCGCGCTACCGCTCAAGGTCGCCTTTCCGCAAAGATGAGCGTGACAGCGGAAGCAGGGGAGGACAAGGGCGAGGCCGTGGTCATGACCGCGGACGGGGCCGCGACGATAGGCGGGCTGGAGGCAGAGAAGGCCGAGACGAAGAGCGCCCATCCCACCGGGACAACCGCGACCGCTCACCCCCCAAAGGCCCTCGTAACCCCGGAAAACCCCCCGTCCACGGTTCCAACGCCGCACGCCCTCCTACCGGCCCTCGCTCCTCTGCCCCCAGCGCTATCAAGAAGGAAGAGGCCGAAGCCGACGAAGACAAGCAGGACGTTGAGATGGCAGACACACGACAGAAGCCTGACGACATGGACGACGACGAGTGGGAGATGCTCAAGGTCATGGGATTCGGAGGGTTCAAAAGCACGAAGAATACAAAGGTTCCGGGCAACGATAAGAATTTTGGGGTGAGGAAGGACAAGCAGTTGCAGGCTAGGCAGTATATGAACAGACAGGGTGGATTCAACAGGCCATTGAGTCCCAGTCGGATGTAGGCAAGGGATAGGGAAATTAAGGCACAGGATGACTATGATCACGGTCGCGTCACATAGGATGAAGGGTTCACAGGCACACTCGTGGAGGCATATGCGCAAGGGAGATAGTACTGAGGCGACAGAACAGGTCTGTCACTGTTTTCCTGATGTATACCTCACCAGGACGACGGTCGCATCGGTACATGCAGTATAAGGCGGGTTGGGATGTTATAGCACGATCTAGATCCACCGCGGAGCAGCTCCTGGTAGGGCGCCTTTCCACATCCTACAACCCTCATACAGCTCTTCTTTAGTCTGACCATAACAGAAGGAGCTTGGTCTGCGAGCGACGTAGCTGCATGCAGTAGCTATATCAGTTTGAAATCTTTGCAAGGACTCGACCGGTAGCATGAGAAAAACCACGATACCACGCAATCCCACACACCAGTCCTATAGCCTCCCCGTGATGCACTCGATTAATCTTCTACACGCATGCTGGGTGGACGAAGGATGTCTTGTTACGTATGCTTGACGGTGGAAACGATGGCCCAGAAAGGCGGGGGGGGGGGGGGGGGGGGGGGGGGGGGGGGGGGGGGGGGGGGGGGGGGGGGGGGGGGGGGGGGGGGGGGG